TGAACTTTTTTTTCATAGTAATTAAATGTCTGGACAATGAACTACTGGACTTAAACTTCTCTCTTTTCCCTTCCTATCCTGTTTTCAGATCCCAGATGGCAGCTGGCACCAGTCACGTTTCCTCTTCCATACTCAGGACAGTCGTCAGTTGCCTATTGTAGAGATACAGGACCTTCCCACTTCACAGCTCAACAGTCAGCGACACATAGAAATCAGTCCAGTCTGCTTCCTCTGACACCAACGTCACCGTCCTGTAATCCACTCACATAAACCACTTAAGTCCACAGACGTTTAAAAAAGGCTTCCTACCAAAGAGATGGTTGCACAGCAAGCCGCAGCAAGCGTCCATGACGGTTTGTTGTGTTTGCTGGAGAGCGCTAACGGGACTTTATGAGAGTAACAAATGCCCTGTGTCCAATCGCTGGCAGACCTACATAGAGGACCTCAGTCTCTGTGGAACATCAGGGCCAAGAAGGCCAAAGGAGAACAGTGTATGCCAATATTTATCAAATAAATGTGTAAAGTTTGTTTTGTTTAATTTTCACTCAAACGGTGCTTAGGTCTGCTGCACATGGACCCACACAGAAGCAGGGCTCACGTTGCAGCCTGTCCAAACCCCAAGTCTCACACCTCCCTTCCATCCCTTCACCCCAAACACACCATCCTAATGAGCAGAGGCCCAACCGAAGGATCGTGCCAGGCCTCTGCTCAGGGCACTGTCAAACTAAAGGTTTATATGAGTGCAATAGCATGTGGATTATGTGTGACTGCTTTAAATATTTCATTTTCCAACCAGAGGCTATATTTTACATTGTTTCATGATATTTTTTGTCTTTGGTCCTGCCCAGTCGGACCCGTACATCTTGACAGATGGTGCTCTACCTCTACCCGCTTATTTGCTTTGTAGGATAGTTGCTAATGTCAAGTTAGTCATTTTTGCCTTTTCGTTGTATGTACCGGTTACATCAAGATTTGTTATATTGTTTAAGTACTTATGTTGATTCGGTCATTTCTAATTTATGAACCATTTGTTTTGATATCCTACATATTTTTGTAGCTTTTCCTTCTATGTGGTAGGTTCCTCAGGGGAAACCTATCAGTGGTGCTGCAACAAAGAATGAGTCATCAGTGACATTTCCTGTGTATATATTGACAGCATACTGTATGTTTATTTATAACCTTTTATTGTTTTTTGTTCACATTACTGTACCGCAGTAAGTTATACTCTCAGAGAACTATTTGGTCAACCACAACTCAGTCTAAAGAAGTATTTATGTTTAAAGGTGTGATTGTGCGCTCACACTTGTGACTGTATGTTTATCATACTGCTTTCTCAGTTCATTCTGAAGTGGTTCGGTGGACTGGCAGCTACAGTAGGCCAGAGTCAAACAACACAGAAAACGATGATACTCTTAACTTATATTACCTTTAACTTGTAATTACGTAAGTCTGTGGAGGATAAAGTTGGAAACAAATGTGTAAATAATAAATAATTTTACAAACAAATAAATGGAACATTTTATCCACAAATGGTTTGGTATTGTTTTATTGAATACAGCATGAGCACATGATCAGTTTTTGATGAGGGCAGTGAAGGACACTCTGATCTCTGTTAGACACAGATTGCAGGATAAATTTACCTATTAATTAATCTGTAAATAAGAAGTACAGATGTTTTCACACCAGTTTTCTTTTCTTTAGTGGCCAACAGATGGAGACCAGTTGTCCTGGGCTGCTTTCAGACGTAAAAATGTGAGCAAAAATACAAAACCAGCGTTGCTCCTGATGATACAATCCTGAACAAATAAGATTTAAAAGACAGTGACATAGTTTGGGTTTCTTGCAAAAATAACTTAAGACTTCTCGAAGAGCACAGATTTCCTATTTAAACTGTAGCAAACAACTAACGCAAGTTTTAGTAGAGAGTGCTGAACATGCACACAACTTAAATAAATCTTTGTCTCCCACCACCAGTGGTGTTGCTAGACACAAAGCTGTACTGGGGCCCCCCATTACTCAATTCACACTTTTTTTTCCTCTGAATTCCTGCTGTGTGTATGAACTGCCCTATAGAATATGAGCCCAACGTTGCAGCCACTATCACGTTGCAGCTGCTGAAACTGAGGCGACTTGTAAGGGTAAAAAAAAAGCGTAGAGATATTACTCTTTCTGAAAGTATTTCTTTCATCATACGATAGGAACATTGTGACCTGTTCAGGGTGCACACTGTCATCACCCTATAGCAGCCGGGAGGGTGCAACCCCTCCATGACCTTCTACAGGATCAAGGGTGTATAGCAAATGGATGGATGATGACAAACATTGTCCACAAGTTTCAAGACATTAAGTTTTTATGTGCAAGTACTAAAAAACAAACAAACAAAAAAACACTACTCAAGTGGTTTAACTTACTTTAAAGCGGGGTGGGGAGGGGGTGGGGGTCTCTGGTCTTGTTGATGAGACCAGTGATATTTCTTCTCACATTGACTCAATGTGTTACATTAACACACAGCTTTAGAAATAAATCAAATCATAATCAGTCTTGCACATTTCAGCTTGTATACACTAGATACTGTGAGATGTTGCACAGCGAACAATTTGCACATTCCTGTACAATCTGTACAGCCGTCTCATATACAGTGCTTAACAAATGTACAGACCACCACCCAATGAAAGGTTTATGCCACATGTTCTCTAAATGAACAGCATTGGTAATTACCAGAATCATTTCTTATGTTTCTGTAATGGTTAATACACCAGTATGTGGAAGCTCTTTAACCAAAGTGGTATTTTTTTGTGTGGCATTTCAGATTTACTGTTTTACAAAAAACTAAACAAAACAGCAAAGCACATTATTATTTCTTGATGAAGGTGTCAAATTATAGTCATTCACTTGCAATCCTCAACAGAAAAACATGTTTTAGTTTTTGAATGTTATGCTTGATTAATCTCTGACTTCTCAGAGAAGGCCAGTGACTCAAACTCCTCATTCTTGTTGAAAACGTTGAGAGCTGAGTGCCAATGAAAGCACTTCACAAAGCTGGATGGTTTATGTGTATATATGTATACAGTGCTTACCAAGTTCGACAGGTGGTCTAATAAATTTAAGCACTGTACATAACATTGTAAATATTTTTATTGCTTTTATTGTAGTTCTAATCTGCTACACTTGCTTTTAAGTTTTTATTTGACTTGCTTCTTAATTGAGTTGGAACATTTACTGTTAATTTACGTTGTGGCACTTGCTTGTAGTCATCTTTTATCTCCCTTTAAATATTCTACTTATCAGCGTTTATTGTGATGCAGCAAAAACAAAAAAGTAAAGAAAAAAAAGTCAGTAGGACTCTGATAATAATAGTAACACCCCCCCCTCCCAAAAAAAAAAAAAAAAAAATAAAATAATAAAAATTAAAAAAAAATCATTATGTTACCTAGATTCTAAATTGTCTGTAGGTGTGAATGTGAGTGTGCTGGTTGTCTGTCTCTAAGTGTGGCCCTGTGACAGACTGGTGACCTGTCCAGGGTGTCCCCTGCCTTCACCCTAAGTCAGCTGGGATAGACTCCAGCCCCCCGCGACCCTAGTGAGGATTAAGCGGTGTATAGATAATGGATGGATTATGTCACCTAGTCAACTATTTTAAATTAGATATACAGTCGTCCTCAAATGTATTCATACCCTCCCGTTAAAGAAGGAAAAAAACAGCTGTCACTGAAATAAGTTGAAAGTGACAAAAGTAATAATAAATAAAAATGTAATGAAAATCATGACATTGCTTTTGAATTGTGGTTCAACAGAAATAAAAAAAACAAATAAAAAAAAAACAAAAAACAAAGCATGATGGGACCCGTAAACTAATATTTTGTTGAACAACCCTTTGAACCAATCAAGTGTTTTCTGTAACTCTCAATCAGACTTCTGCACCTGTTGACAAGTATTTGGATTTTGGCCACTGCTCATCAGCAAAGTGCTCTAATTAGTCCTGAACATTTTTTTTTCTTTTTTCTTTTAATTATTCTTTTCAACCACAATTCAAAAGAAATGCCTTATTTCACTAAAGTATAATTCAGCTTTTTTTTTTTTTAGTTTTGCTTTTTTTCAGTTTCCAATTATTTGAGTGACTATTGTGAATTTTGCCTTTTTTTTTAATGAATAAATTTGAAGACGACAGTATATATTTTCTAAGTAAACAAAATAATCCTTAACTGTTTTAGAGTGTCTCTCATGTCCAAAGTTGGCTAATTCGTTTGAGCATTAAAATGTTTGACAGTGCATCTCTGTTTCTGAGTCCAAGTTCAGTTCAGTTTCAAGTTTTCAAATGATCAGACAGCAGGGTTGTGCAGCCTGTCCTTATTGTGGACCAAGTGTGAATCCATCTCAGCAGCGTGAATGAGCATTTCCATCTGCAGAGGAATCTGAATGAGCAACATCAAAGTCTTGTGCAGTCTGTTCACACTTTTACTAAATCAGCGTCCAAAAAAACAAAAACAAAAAAAAAAAACAATCAGCAGCTGAGCACAGAACGTTTACATCAACTATCCTTTTTTGTAAAAATAATTTTTTTCACAAAAAGATGATGTACAACAACAATCAACATGTGCTTGAGGTAAAGGAAATAAAAGAATGACGAAAACAAAATCATATTGCTCCCATAAGGCTAGGAGTTTCACAGCTTTAGAATTAGTGCAAAGTTTTACAGCATCCATTTAACAGTTCAGACATTAAAATTGGGTTTCTGTTTTGATAATTTACTAATATTGTTAACGAACTTAGCAAGTAAAATAAGAAAGTTAAAAACATATCTTTTATTCAGGAATTTGAACATTAATACATCAACCACCCTGCTGTCAGACCCGTCCATTTCTTTTCACGCAGTTTGACCTGACCGCGAGTTGTACTCACCGGAAGTGCTGGGAGTTGTAGTTCTCAGCGCGGACACCGGGAGGCGCTGCTGAGCAGCTCTGCGACAGGAACTCAGCTCCACGTGCTGCCACCGGCGGAAGACGGTTTGTTTTGATGCCGCTGGTGTCTTTCCAGCGTGGAGCTGCAGTGTCCCAGTCATGGCCTCAGTTATTATACCAACAGCAGCTCTAATGTCCGCCGCGGAGAGTCGAGCCGACGGCGGCGGCCTGGAAGAAGAGCAGAGAGGGACGAAGAGAAAGATGTCTCTGTCCAGGTGATCCGTTTAAACAGTCAGCGGCTAACTGCTAACAGAGCTAACACATTTCCTGTGAAGTTAGCTCGCTCAACTTTTCATGTTTTTCATATTCGTCGTATTAGTGAAGTGAGCAACAGATATCCCCGGTGTCAAACGAACGCCAGGTACTGAGAAACACTGCATAGCTACAAAGTTAGCATGCTATTAGCTAGCTAACTAAACTCAAATACTCAACAAAATTAATGAGTCTGGCTTTTATATTTTCAGACGGTTTTAATATTTTATTCCAGCTTCTCTCGTTTTCTCTCTTTCAGTCGTTAACTGCCTTACTTGTGTGTTTTATAATGGTACTAACTTTGAATATTAAAATTGTTATTGTCATACAAGTTTGTTATTTATGTGTCCACATGCCTTCTTACTGGGCCACACTGTTCCTCAGTTTACTTTGAGTTTGAATAAAGCTTGAATGTGTTTCTGTAAAGTTCTGTTTCAGTCAAGACAGTCGTTAATTAGGTTGATCATCTTTATCTCAGTTTGACATGTTGTCTGTCCTGCAGCTGTGGTGTTTGTGGATCAGAGGAGGCCAAGTACAAGTGTCCTGCCTGCCTCACACATTCATGCAGGTGAGATTATTATCCTCAAATGTAAAATACTTTCATTACTGTGTGGCAATCTGCAAGATCATAATCTGTTCACCATTATTTCAGTTTCTTTTTTATTGTGAAATACTGGATACTTTCACCGCTACAGCCTCCTAAATCCTTTAACAGTCTAAGAAGAAACAATATCCCTTAGTCAGAATCCCCTTTTCAGACACTTTCATGTTAATGTTCCTCGTGGTTTCATTCAGACACACAATATATAATTCACACAAGAGTGGACAGTACACCAAATAATGTGTATCTGTTTGGAAAATTCTTCAGTGGAGTCCTAGCTGCTCCAAATTAATGCACAGAGTCGTCTCTTAAGTCAAAGCAAAGTTTTACTTGCAGCAAGGAGCAACATGTACAGCACAGAGTCTGAACAAGTGGCTAAGTAAAAGCTTGAAGCATAGGTTCTTATATACAGAAAACAGAAGGCAAATGTGTGTGTTTAGGCATGGGGTTTTGACTACGCGCTAAGGACGTCTTGTCCTTATCTCACACTCACAAGGTGAAATAGAAGCAATGGACATTTATAGCATTCTCATACTTTTCACAAAGATCATTGGATCATAACATAGAATTATTCTGACAGTAACACATAATGATGCACTAATAAACAAGTCCAAAAAACTAATGGCTTTGTCACTTGAGGATTTCTTTCATCACCTAAAATTCTGTGCATGTATGATGACAATCTAACTACTTTACCAACATTAAAATAAAAATATCCAGAGAGCTGAAGCTCAGAATTTAACCTGAAGACATCCACTGTTTAATAAAAGGTTTAACTGAAGCTTAAAAACTGTGACTCTGTGACATCTCACCTGTGTGAGGAGAAGAAAAGTACACATTGTGACTTGCAGTTAGATCTTGATCGATCTCGTATCTATGTTGAGGCCAAGATATATTTAAGTAATTAATGACGTTACCAGCACTATTTTTTCTCCTTCTGTTTCCCACTAAAGACTATATCTTAAAGTATGAGTTGGTATTGTTTTTGGGGTACTGTAACTTCGTCCCAAACACAACCTCACCGTAGTGGTGGCTACAAGTAGATGTGGCTGCATTACAGCCAAAGTAGCAAACCTTTTTATTATTGTATTTTATGAGGGGTCATTCAAAACTAACATAAATTCCAGTTATCAGGAAAATCCAAATATTAGATCTGATAATCAGTCAGGCCAATAATCTGCCAACTTCTGTTATTTTATTGATGCATTTTCATTCTAGGAAACCATCTTTTGCTCATATAGACAAACATTTTAACTGTACAGGAAAGTGACCTTTCTCTGAAGTGATCGCAACTCCAGCAATAAATTTAAGCAGTGTCTGGTGTTCAACAAAAGTGTGCGTAGTTGCTTTTACTTCTTGCAATTCTTTCGGTTTGCATGGAGTACTGTGGGCTCCGTTGTTATCGCAGAATAGAACATATGCCAAGGTGTCGTAAATCTAGCATTGCATGAGTGAAAGAAAGCCTTCACTTGACGTGAGGCTTTTTTGCGTACTGCATAATTTGCATACTGTAAATGAACATATATCTGTGTGTATTGGACAGTGTGCTATAGTGGTCGTAAAGCAAGTAGAAAAAGTGAGCTTTAACCAGATTTTAGATCCGGCTCAGGTCTCCTGCTGGTGTGTTATGCACTCATGTGGTATGTATTAATTTTATCTATGTGAACACAGAAAAACACACATATCTTGTAACACTTGTTTACAGTTTTCACTAGATCCTTTTGCATGAGTTAACATTATTGTGTGTAGATTTTAAAACATCGATGCCAAACTTTATTGTCTCATCAGAAACAAATAATTATTGTTACAATGTTATTGCACTAAGATCACACGATGCTGTCAGTGAGTAGATATTGTATAATTTCATAAAACAAATATATTTTTTTCTGGAGGAAGGAAATATATCATAATCTATTATACATCTTTAAATTCTCTTTCCGTGCAGCAATATGTTTATGATGGACTCTTGGCCATGTTTTTATTTTTGCTAACTGAACTTTACTTTGACTCCTGGCCAGCAACAACATACCAGTGGAAGTCTTAACAATCCACGGCCTACTCCTCAAATTCTGTAGACGCTGAAGGATTTACAACATAACCATCAGATGCTAAATGGCAGAATAAAGGTCATCCCTGAAAATTTCATTAGGAGTTATCAAAAAAAAGCGCTGGTGAATGTCTTTTCCCTTCTCTCATTGTTGCCTGTGGTTTTGGGCATCACACTGCATTCCTTCTGCATAGTTTCTCCGGATACAGTCTCTGTCTGACCCCGGCCAAATACCTGTCTCTCAGCAAGAGTCTGAAAATGGGACTTTTCGTGCTTGGATTAAAACCCAGGGTTGTTGTTTTTTGTGTGTGTGTGTGTCTGTGTGTGTTCAGGTGTTTTTATTTTTAACATCCTTCAGAAAACCAACTACAACCCGACCCCTTCTTTTTTTTTTTTTTTTTAAATATCAGAATCAGTATTATTTGATGTCAGGACATTAAAGTCTGTCAGACGTGTGGGTAGCCAGGCGTTGGAGAAGTTTTTCTGTGTGTTAGTTAGGTAAAAGTAGTGATGCCAGTGTATAAAATAGTCTGTCACAAGTTTTATTATTACATTCAGAATCTGACTTAAGTGAAATACAGAAGTTGTATCGGCAAACTGTGCTCACTGCACTAGACAATGGCCTAAATTAGGTACTTTATGTATTATATAATTTGCAGAATTGGTCATATCTGTGTTTTCTTGCATTTTCCCCTGATCTAACCTTTAGAGGTGGTGAAATAAGTCATTCTGCCCACAGTTTGTTTATCTGTGTGTTGCTTTTTTCACTAAGAAATTCACAATTCACAGTCAAAGAGTGTTTACAGATTAGGTACAGTTGATCTGCACTTTGTGTGACTACTTAGAAAGAAATAATCTCTCTTTGCTAATACAAGTTCAGATTAATCTTTTTCTCTCTATATCTGGACTCACCAGGAAATTGTCAGAGGCAGCCAAACGTTTTGAGTCACTGCAGCCCTCTAAACTACAACTGCTCCACATAATATTCACATCACACTTTACAGGGCTGTTGCTAATATTGCCAGTCATCATCATTGCTGACATTTGACACATCATGCAGTCTCACCTGAACTATTTCCAAAAAGCATCCAGTAGCTACACATTTAGTGCAGGTGTCAAACATTTACTAAAAAAAGGCAAAGACTGATGTGAGGATTCTAAATCTAAAGAAGAGAGGCACTCTGTGGGATCCAGCTCATCTTGGCCTACAGCCAGCATGGATTTATGCACATGCTGTATGTTTTTTCTCCCTAATTGCAGCGAACATGAGGTTTCTCCCCCTGTGGGATTAACGTATTATTATGGAATACTGTTCTAATGTACACATATACAGGGCAAAATAAAAGTTTGGTTGGTACGTTGGTAGCACTGTTGCCTCGCAGCAAGAAGGTTGCTGGTTTGCGCCAGGTGAGGATACCCAGGATCTTTCTGTGTGGAGTTTGCATGTTCTCCCCGTGCAGCGTGTGTTCCCTCCGGGTTCTCGGGCTTCCTCCCACAAGGTCCAAAAACATGTTGAGGTTAATTGGTGATTCTAAATTGTCCGTAGGTGTGAATGTGAGTGTGCTTGGTTGTCTGTCTCTAAGTGTAGCCCTGTGATAGACTGGTGACCTGTCCAAGGTGTTCCCTGCCTTCACCCTTAGTCAGCTGGGATAGGCTCCAGTTACCCTAGTGAGGATTAAGCGGTATATAGATAATGGATGGATGGATGGATATTCACACAAAAGTATGAACTTAGCCTGAGAGGAATTATCCTGTCAGTGTTCATTTTGGACTAATGCCGATGACGGCACTGACATCAACATCTATCCCAACTGAAAGAGTCTAATTAATCAGAAAATTGTAATTTTTAAAATATTAGTTTGAAATCTTCTTCATTAGGTTTGTTGTCCAGTGTGAAAACATTTCAGTTCGTATTGGGAAGGAAGTAGAAAATAAATATTTTTCACTTCTTATTTTTCAGTCTTTATATCTGGGCTTGTAGTTGATGGATGAGATGAGATGGTTTCCTCTGAATCTTTCTTCCTAACACAGATATTGAAAATCTGTCTGAAATGATCCACCAGTAGACAAGGAAAGAAATACAAAAGTTTGTGTCTACCTGCAGTGCTAGTTATTTGTCTAAATTAGACAGAGGTATTTGCATTTTTGCAAGTGTTGTTTTCATCTTGTGAGTCTGTCTGTGTAGCCAGTTTGTTTCATCAGGATAACATATGGTCCTGGAGATGCCTGCTGTAGCAGGAACTACCTCAAAGATTGTTTTGAGTTCTTTGGAAGGTGTTGATTCCTCTTTCTGATTTTGTCAACACTAATATCTTGCAGTCATGAATCTTTGCAGATGTGTAGTTGAGATCAAAATGAAGGCCTAGTTTGAAGAGGAATTTGGTCTGAGTACAGAATACTCTCATGAAAGCATGTAATCATATCTTAGTGACTGCTGAGTAGGTCTGCTCATGGATTCAAATGTCACCATATTTGTGGATGTTTATGTGTTATGTGTCATTTTGAGCACTCTTCATGTTTTGGCATCCTTTAGCTTTACTTTGTGCACCGTGTGGACAAGCTGAAAAGGCACCGTATCTAATTTCCTTCAAAGAGTTGAAGCATTGCCTAACATATTGCATCTGTTTGTGTTTTCCAGCTTGCTATGTGTGAAGAAACACAAAGAAGCTTCAGGATGCAGTGGAGTCAGAAATAAAACTGCATTTGTGAACCTGTCACACTTTGATGAAATGACACTTCTCAGCGGTGAGCGTCTCCTTGACTTGACTGATATGCTGCGAACAGTGAAAAATGTTATCTGTGTTTTTACTATAACATTATTTATCTTGGCTTCAGGACATTTTTGTCAATGACTGCATTATAAAAAAATGAATGCTGCTCTTTCACTTAGTGTGTTCACTCGTTGTTCTTGGCCTGTATTGTAGATTACAGGTTTCTGGAGGATACTGGGAGATTTGCAGATGGTGCCAACAGAGACAACCTCATCAGGGCTCCTCATACCACTTTTAAAGTAAGTCCTTGGTTTCTAGATCCAGTTACAGTCGTCCTAAAATGTATTCATACCCTTCCATTAAAATGGCAAAATTCACAACAGTGACTCAATTAATTAGAAACTGGAAAAAGAAATAAGAAATAAAAAAAAAAAGCTAAAATATACGTTAGTGAAAGAAGACATTGCTTTGGAATTGTGGTTGAAAAGAATAATAAAAAGAAAAGAAAAAAAAATGTCCCAGAAAAATTAGAGCACTTTGCTGATGAGCAGTGGCCAAAATCCAAATACATGTCAACAGGTGCAGAAGTCTGATTGAGAGTTACAGAAAACACTTGATAGCAGTGATTGGCTCAAAGGGTTGTTCAACAAAATGTTAGTTTACAGGTCCCATCATGCTTTAATTTATTTTTTATATTTCTGTTGAACCACACTTCAAAAGCAATGTCATGATTTTCATTACGTTTTTATTTATTATTACTTTTGTCGATTTCAACTTATTTCAGTGACAGCTGTTTTTTTCCTTCTTTATTGGGAGGGTATGAATACATTTGAGAACAGCTATATGTAGCATGGTCAATGTAGGGTAATTTGACAGTGAGCTAAGATCAGTTCAGTGAGAATACATTTAAACTGATTTAAGCCTTTTTTAAAAAATTTTGTATTGCTTTTGAGAATATTTGTACAAAATCAAAATATATATCTGGGTATATCACATGGTTAGGTAAGGTTTTTACAAACAGCTGTTTCGTTTCATTCAAATAACACATGCATATTTCTCATGTGCAGTGTGTTGTTTGGTATATATACACTAAAATGTCATTACCCTCAATGTTCTTGTCCCTGCTGTCGATTGCTTGATTTTAAAAAGGGCAGCTGTTCATAGCTGTTTTTAGTCATGATGGCATTTGTTAGTTTAGATCGTAGAATTACTCACATGTCCAACTTTTTAACCAGTATGTCCCTCAAAGATAAAATGCTATGTAGTTTGCAAAGTAGGGTTAGAAATGTGTGAAAATAGCTTTGTCCGTTGAACAGTGACATCAGAATGGACCTCACAACCAAAATACTCACAACTCAGTATCTGTGTAGTCACAGCAGACTGGCATTGTCCTGCTGAATGAGCGCGACATTGAAGGAGAGAAATGGTTTGAGACAACTTAAAAACAGCATCTCTGTTGATTTTCAACTGTAAAATGTTCCGCTCAGTATGTGTCTCAGCCACTGACTCATCCACAAGACTAGTTTGTATGGAATGTGCCAATAAACTGGTATTGGATGAAATACATCTGTGTTGGCTTCATAAATCCCAAACCAGTCAGGCTACACTCATAAATGCTAAAAAGAATTTAGCACCAAATTTCAGTTAAGTGCAAAATGCTCGGTTGGGATTCATCCAACCTACAAGTATCCACAACATTTAAAGATCAGTTTGAAAGTCTAAAATCTGTAGTGACTGAACGGATTTTTGCTTCAATATGATTCCTTTTCAATATAAAGCTGAAGATGTGTAAAGTCGCGCTGCATGGCATGATGATCGTTTCAAGATTGTTTTATGAGATCAAGATTCTTAGAAATGCTCCAAATCAATGGTGAATGCAATAAAAGTATATAGTTAGCTTTCCAGCAGAAGAAACCAACATAATCTAAATGCCTTTCTCTTTGTGGTTTTAGTGCATCATTTGTATAATTTGCGGCTGCCGTTACGTAATGCCTACTGCTGCTGCTCCAAACCACAGACATCCATTTGTGTAAGAGTTCATACCACCTATTACCTGTGCTGTTACTACAACACAACTCAAGTGACTTTTGATAGCTTGGAGTAATTCATGTTCTTTTATGGGCCTTTTAGAGGCAACGACTGCTTCAGCGGTCACAAATCTATCAAAATAATGAGGCTTACTCTCAGGGAGAGATAAAGGCTTGGCACATGATGAGCTTTGGGATTTGGGTTTCCTCCAGAACACTGCAAGTGCAATAATCTGTTAATAGCCCTGTGTAGCCCTAACTTTTAATAAATCTCTTTTACCGTCTCTCACCACCAATCCAAAGTTACAAAGGTGCCAGAAAGGAAAAGCTTGTCCTTTCAAATTTAGATGAGGGCTGTAAGGAGCAGTTCAAGCCATCTTTGTTTTAATTGTTAATGAAACTTGCACAGCTGGATTTGTTGATGCAGACCAGATATTTGGTATTTAAACACATTTGTTCCTGGAGAAGATATTCCCCCGTCTGAATTTTCCACTGAACTGAAATGTCAGCCAGCATGTGGTCCCAACAAATCTGTTAAAGTCTTAGAATAAATGCTTTTTGTTACATCATGTTTCATTGAACAGTTGTTTTGTTTGAAGTATGCTGCTGTAATATATTTGTTGGAGGTCTGATGGCTGTTGGGCTGTGCTTGTTTGTGGGTTCATAGCAGTTTTAAAATGTTCTGCAGATCTACAATATTTTTGTCTGTGCCACTACTATAGATAAAATACACTCATCGGCCACTTTAATAGGTACACCTTGCTAGTACCAGGTTGGACCCCCCTTTTGCCTTCAGAACTGTCTTAATCCTTCGTGGCATAGATTCAACAAGGTACTGGAAACATTCCTCAGAGATTTTGCTCCATATTGACATGATAGCAACACGCAGTTGCTGCAGATTTGCCGGCTACACATCTATGATGCAAATCTGCCGTTCCACTACATCCCAAAGGTGCTCTATTGGATTGAGATCTGGTGACTGTGGAGGCCATTGGAGTACAGTGAACTCATTGTCATGTTCAAGGAACCAGTCTGAGATGATTGGTGCTTTATGACATGGCGCGTTATCCTGCTGGAAGTAGCCATCAGAAGATGGGTACACTGTGGTCATAAAGGGATGGACATGGTCAGGAACAATACTCATGTAGGCTGTGGCGTTGACACAATGCTCAATTGGTACTAAGGGGCTCAAAGTGTGCCAAGAAAATATCCCCCACACCATTACACCACCACCACCACCACCACCACCACCAGCCTGAACCGTTGATACAAGCCAGGATGGATCCATGCTTCTTGTTGTTGACGCCAAATTCTGACCCTACCATCCGAATGTCGCAGCACAAATCGAGGCTCATCAGACCAGGCAATGTTTTTCCAATATTCTATTGTCCAATTTTGGTGAGCCTATTCGAATTGTAGCGTCAGTTTCCTGTTCTTAGCTGACAGGAGTGGCACCCGGTGTGGTCTTCTGCTGCTGTAGCCCATCCGCCTCAAGGTTCGACGTGTGGTGCGTTCAGAGATGCTATTCTGCATACCTCGGTTGTAATGAGTGGTTATTTGAGTTACTGTTGCCTTTCTGTCAGCTCCAACCAGTCTGGCCATTCTCCTCTGACCTCTGGCATCAACAAGGCATTTGCGCCCACAGAACTACCTTTCACTGGATGTTTTCTCTTTTTCGGACCATTCTCTGTCAACCCTAGAGGTGGTTGTGCATGAAAATCCCAGTAGATCAGCAGTTTCTGAAATGCTCAGATCAGCCCGTCTGGCACCAAAAACCATGCCACGTTCAAAGTCACTTAAATCACCTTGCTTCCCCATTCTGATGCTCAGTTTGAACTGCAGCAGATCGTCTTGACCATGTCTACATGCCTAAATGCATTGAGTTGCTGCCATGTTATTGGCTGATTAGAAATTTGCGTAAACGAGCAGTTGGACAGGTGTACCTAATGAAGTGGCCGGTGGGTGTATACTACAGTAATGTTGTACATGAGGCTGAAACCAATCATTTTCTGTTAACAATTTTAGTCTGAATGCTTAAAAGGTCATTTAAAACCTAAGTATATTCACTTGAGACCCAAAATCTTTCAGTGAATATTTTTGTCGGTCACGCCGGTTTGCTTGACTTTTAGCAGATCTGTCTGTGTGTGTCTGGCAGCTTGCCCAGGTAGATAAAATCAGTCTGTTTCCACTGAGGTAAATCTTACATTAACATGCCGAACTTCACTGTTTTCAAACAAATTTCCTGGACGTTACATGTGCTGCTGCAACTGCGTGGGGACTAGAGGTTTCTCTGTGCCTAGTAGTTTCTACTGATGCGTGTGAGGAGTGTGACGACATTGATTGTTTTTGAACGTCGAATTGTAGCGTCTAGCTGGTCTCTGCATGTAAGTTGTTTAGAGAACATCTGTATCTTTGTAGCTCCAGAAAACAACCCAAGTTACACTCACGCTCTCTAAATAATGAGTCTTTGCATGCAAATCGTCTGTGATCAACAGTGAGCTGTGATAAACCTGCCAGCAATATCCAGTGCATTCTGTGCAGAGTTTGGCTGCGGTACAGCTTCGAACACTGCTTTTTGCTATCACAGCGTCAATGTTCAGAATTGAAACATTAAAAAAACACAGTGTCTCGAAGAAACTTGCCCTCTGCTTTGACAGGTGTGTAGCAAGCAGAGCAGCTCCCACATTCTGCTGCGTTTCAGTGCCAGGTAGCGGCCAATCCAAGCAGTGAAGAGTCAGAAATAATAATACTGATAAAACAATTTACCCCTGCTTATAATGTGGCAAAGAAGAGCCACATTTAGGGAGCTTGAGTCCCAAATAAATGGTGAAATGTACAAAACATTTGTCTGCACATTTTATTCATCTTTTCAATCATTGACATAATGTGCTTAAAAAATTACCAATACATATGGGTACCGACGAAAAAAGATCACGCTTTAAATTGTCATGGAAAAAGTGTAGTTGCGCCTAAATTATGCGCTGATGCACCCAGATGAAAAGAATTGGGCGTACTAGTGCAACCAATGTATACAGCTCGTCTTGAGCCCTGTTGATGAATGAACTAAGTTTGGCTCTCATACTGCCCAACAGTACCATATTAAACTGTGCTATCTGAAATGTTGTGTTGACCAGGCGAAGAAGCTGGCAGCCAGTGCCAGGAAGATGAACATCACACTGAGGTTCCTCCCCGTCAGCTTCACCAAGAGCAGAGAAAACTCTACCTTCTTCCTAAATAAGTAAGTATGCAATCTCTGAAAGGGATTAGACAATATGTTATGTATTATTACTTGTTCAGCGCTTAGCTATATTTGGACTTAACTACCTTTTTAGAGAGTACAAAATTACCATGTATTTGTAAACATATATTAATATAGCCAACGTCACACACGCAGGTTAACCACTCAGACTCATCACTGTCATTATCCTCTTATGGAATGAGTCACTCTTGGCACTATTAAACATGAAATATTAATATCACTACTATTATTATTGTTATTATTATTAGTATATATATATATATATATTTTAGAAAAGTCTAAATACATTAAAAGAAAAGTCTTTTTACTTTGTTGTTACCATCTTGAGATAATTTTGACCATAATGTTATGTTAGTTATCCTTTTCTGGAAGAACCTACCCTGGTGACTTAATGTCATAGAAAAGAAAAACATAAGTAACAGTCATTACTTGCATAGTTATTGATATTTATGTTTGGATATCAATCAAAGCAGCACCTTTAAAGTCCTTGCTTCATGTTACTTAGTCAGTCCAAGACATTACTTTAAGTCCTGCTTAATCTGCAGCAAAATGAGCTTCTGATTAGTGATGTTTTACTTTGCCACAGGATGGCACTCTTGTTAAGCCCTAACTGCAGTCGTATTAGGTTATCTCATGGCAGTCTTGTGCATGGTGATGAAACATGGAGGTCTACCAAATGTCTATGGAATATAAGCTACCTGAGCCAGTTTAGGTATCATTAATATTCACACCAATCTATGAAAACATGAGATGAGGTCATTATTGATTGGTTTCCTCGAGTTTCTTGGAGTTTACACTTTTGCTGTTAACGCTGTAGCTCTGTGATGTACAGGAGGGAACCGTTTCAAACCGGTAAGACTTAGCCATGTTGTTGGTGCTTGATGGAAACGTCAGTGTCAGTATATTTCCAGCCAGCACACAAACACACATGTACACTTGTTGCTGAGAATCTGTGGCCCCATAGTCCAACACTGCAGACACTGTGCAGGGCATTTCCTCCATTACACTACTACCCCAGTTAAAGAAACAGTCCATAAACTACTGTAGGACTGGGTGACTACAGACCAAGTGTGTTTGATATTTTGTAATGATATATAGAACATTTTAATCATTCATCAATAGACTTTTTGAAGGCAAGCTTTTTTCTTCCACAAAAGTTTGAACACATTAGAAATGTATTTGAACATCATTACATCGACCATCAGTCAGTCTGTCCTCTGCAAGCTTACATATTATACAGTCCACAGTCAAATAGACTTATTGCACTCTTACATTTGTATCAAATGGCCTGACTACAGATGGGTGACATAGTAAACAAAAAATAATATAAAAGGTCTTAGTAAGGTGTCAGCCCATGTGAACAGAAAAGCTTCAGTGCATTGATTCTCAAAGTATCGAACTCCACTGGAGGGATGACCACCATTCTTTCAAAAAGATGATCCCTCATTTGGTGTTCAACTGGTAGTGGCCAAGAGTGCTGTCTCAACAGCTATGTCCAAAATCTCCCACAAGTATTCATTTGGGCAGAGATCTGGTGACAGGGAAGGCCATAACATATGATTCTTATCATTCTTCTACTTATCAAATCATTCAGTGAATCCTCTTGCCTTATGGATGGAGGTACTGTCACACAGGAAGACTCCCTACAATCAGGATTTAAATGTTTTGACATGGGATGATATATAAGCTGATCATAAGGATGACTCACAGTGACTCTTCCCTCTGAGGGCTCAAGTGGACCCAAATCATGGCAGCAAAGTGCCCCCAAAGTTTAACAGAGCCACCAGATCCTCTCTCTGTAGGGGTCAAGTGTTTCCCTTTAATTTGTCATGCATATGTAGTTGCTAATAAACTTAGGATGAATTTTCAGAAAAGATTAGCCAACTTTGCAGACTTACAACAATTGAGCGTTTGAGACTCATTCCTTCCTTTGGACCCTGTAGTAATTCTTTTACATGGAATTTTTAAAATGTAGTCTCTGGACCACCTTCCACCGCTTATTATGCCTCTGCACTGGATTTCAGAATCTTGAAACTATCTTCAATGTGGTGATCGTAGAGATCCGCCATGCTGCCGGGTTGAAGATATGTGCGACGGATCTGTATTTTAGAATTTGTAGCTTCCTTGCAGCAGCAGCATCTATATTTTGTAGTTCATTGCATGCTGTCATGGTGACGACTTTATGTTCAGTCAGAATTTATTGGCCAAGCATGTGAACACATACAGTTAGTTTGGTGTATTTTTTTTATTTGTTTATTTGTCTCATCGAGCATACACACTTCATGTATTCGTGTGTTCGGACGCGCATGGATGTGAACTGCAACTTGACTGGTTGGCGGAGGCATACAACCGCGAGGCAGTAATTCTAGATTTACCGTTGCTTTTGAGACTGAGCCCTGCCACTCTAATCCCATGGTGGGAGAATAGAGGCGGGGAAGACGGGGAAAATGGTTATTGAACTGGATATTAAAGTTTTATGGGTCTGAAATGCCCAGGGACAACATTGGTGCCAATCAGGATTGCCACTAAAAGAAACCTTTGTCAGTCCCTCCAGCTGGTTTTATGTTGTTACTTTCCCTTTCACCACCCTCTTTTCTACCCTTAAAGTCCACCACGCTGTCATGTGAGTCTCTGGTGTTTTGCAGGTGCTGATACATTTGTGAACATTGCAGAATTAGACAACTTTATGTTAGGCTGTAGTAGCAGACTCCAGCCCCGTTCTCCCTGGTCCCAGTTCAGCGAATGACAGAAAGTTTTTGAAGGCTGTCTGTTAAGTCTTTCATAAAGGTTCATCACCTGGGAAATGTGTGAAATTCCCACATCTGCACCAGCAAATGATACAAGAATCTTTATGCCTTTGTTATTCTTGTCTCTAAAGAGGAATCATTGGCCAGCTGCACAGCCTTTCTTTGTTTAGTCTGGTTAGTCTCATTATGTCTCACTGTGAAGATTTTTCAAATAACCGCAACAGTGTCCCATTCACAGAGCAGCAAATGGACACAAGGGATGGGATGAAAGGTATACAATAAATAGCAAGGGATTGAGAGAGAATGTGCTTCAGAATGTACCAAGTACATAATATAAGAAGCAGATGTGTGAGCAGTGTGACTGCAGCTGGTTAGCGACATATTCATGCTACGCACTTGCCCTGCCAGAGAAGGATCATTACTGGCAGACAGCTGACTGGAGGGCTTTCATGCCTGGCGATGGTGTGTGTGCGTGTGAGCGCTTGTGCTTGAGTGTGAGTTAGTGAGCGCGTGTCTCTTTGATTAAATGTTTGTAGGCAAAATAATGGCTGTGCAACTACTTTCTTTCCACCTCTTACCAATGACTAATTTAAAAAACAAGGCACGAACAGTAAAGAGATTGACAAAAAATTACAGGCTGCCTCTCAGTCCAGCCCTTGGAGGGTAAGTATATAATAGCTGGCATTTGGCAGAACATTGGAAGTAGTTGTGTTAGGGTGGAATTATGTTTTCTACAGCCTCAGCCTGGCATGGCAGGGCATTTTCCTCAAAGACAGCTTGAGTGAACTGGACAACACATTGCAGGAACAGTTACTGTGGGTAATAACTGAACATATTTCTATAATAACTTGATATAATTGGTAACATGAGCTGGTGCGGTTTTGTGCCCTGTATATCACTTTCCCATATATTGGGAATCAGCCTCAATTAACCCAGCTTTCTAGCTTAGAGGAGACCTAATTTTGTTTCTAGTTATTGACAGGTGTTGAAGAACAGTGAACTCAAAAGTGAAGCGCTACTTGGTGATAGCAGTACAGAAAAATAACCAGAGATTTGTAAAGTGAGAGAAAGTATAGTAACCCACACATAGGTTCTGTGGACTCAGTCAACTGAGTCTTCATTTGTCAGACCTACAGTAAGATTCAAATCAGTTCAAAATGCATCACTTCATCCTTTGAATGCATTTGTCTCTCTACTGTCCTCTCATTGACGTTCATGCAATAGTGTGAACCTTCCCTGCTAGGAGAAACCCCAGTATAGCCACAGCAGGATGAGGAGATTGTCCTCTGACACCTTGTCACCTGCTTGTTCTTGCAGCAATCATTTAAAGCCTTTCTTGATTGCTGTGTGAAACCTTATTACTGTGTCAGAGGAAACACACACCCACCTAAGATTACATAGGTTCCCCACGTACTGCCAAAGCAGCTCAGACCCATTGGAGCATGAACATTGTACCTCTGTGGGTGTCCAGTGGTTTCAGTCTCTGGGATATTGGCAGCAGATCCTTTGGGTCCTAGGCGTTGTTGGGCGGCCTCAGTGTAGAGGGGTTGTTCGGTGATTCAAATGGATACTTGATCAGATGGGAACGCTTTGGACTCTAGGTCGTGTTTCTCGAGTCGCTCCTGAGCAGTTTTGCGGTGCAGCAGGGTGCATTGGTCTGCTGCGAGAGTCCACTACCTTGTGGGAGTGCTGTTGCCAGGACAGAAAGTGTGCTTGGTCTGGAACGATGTTTAGTTGGGTGGTACTTATCAAAGTATCATCCACATAAATACTGGGACCAAAGGTTTCCCAGCAGAATATTGTTTTGTAACAAAACGATTAATGTCAGTCGCTTCCGTTGTCACTGGCTTTTATGTTGTGGCAGAGCGGTGTGTGTTGTCAGTCTCTTTCTTTTGCTAGTGGCCCTGTACTGAATGGCATTTATCGCTAACTCGTGATTACCTCTTCCCACACCACTCAAATAGAAATGTATACACATGTACACGTCTCTGTGTGTGTCCATGAAACGCAGGGTGCTATAGGTAACACCTCCCAAATTTGAATAATTTGGACTGGTTGATGCAGCTTCTGTTGGAAAAGGGGCTCAAGACAAAGAAGAAAAAACATGTAGAATAACAGAATAAAGATCTCGTTAGTTAAGAAACGGCAACGTGAACATGAAAGATAGATGTACAGTGTTCTACATTCATTCTGGAGATTCATGTTCCCCATTAAGTCAGCCATTCTTGCAAC